AATAAGTAATTTCTATGTTTTATAGTAGTTTATTACATGTTTAATACGTGTCACGTACTTAAAGGTTCAATATGTTTAAGAAATGTTATCATTGTTATTTCTCAAACACTGTTAATATTTGGTATCCTAAAATGTACAAAAAATATCTCTTATTTTTTGTAGGTTCCAAGTGATGACTTTCAGATTGAATGAGTTGTATTTTGCCATTTTTCACGTCTAAGTAAGTTCAAAATAGGAAGACATTTTGTTATATATAATCGTTTATTTTCAATTCATTGAATATTTTCATTTGAAATCGTTTCATTCCCACCTTGATTTATGTCCCATTATACTTTAAAATATGTTTTAATAAATAAGACATGTTACTCTCTCCAATACATGTACAATGCCCGTTATGATGGGGTCAATAAAGAAACCGAATTATAAACTACTATTACTACGCGCCTTAAAATATTACGTTAAAAATGTTTAAAAAAATTAAACGCTGCGAGCAGGATTTGAACCTGCGCGGGCAATGCCCATTTGATTTCGAGTCAAACGCCTTAACCACTCGGCCATCACAGCTTATAAAGACTACAATATATAGATATCAATTAATTTTTTTCCATTAACTCTACCTTATTTATAGCCATTACGTTCATTTTATTACAGAACGGCTTTAATGTATTTATAAACTGACGTATACATACTATTGACGATTCGATTAACGATATAGTATGCTCAAATTTGATATTATAAAGGAGGAAAAAACTGATAACTATGGTGGCTGATTTGTGCCATTTGTGTTTTCGCCCCGCGCCCCGCCATTCTCGACTTTTCGCTTAAATTGGCGGGGTCGCGGGACGAAAACACGCTAATTAGCGGGGCCGCGAGGCGAAGTTTTATTTTATTAAACATCGCCCCGCGCCCCCGCCGTTTTATTTATTAATTCTTGCTCCGCGCCCTCGCGGGGCGAAGTTTTATTTGTTAAAATTCGCCGCGCACCCCCGCTAATTAGCGTGTTTTCGCTCCGCGACCCCGCCATTCTCGACTTTTCGCTTGGCGGGGTCGCAGGACGAAAACACGCTAATAAGCGGGGCGCGGGGCGAAGTTTTATTTTAATTAACTTCGCCAAGCGCCCCCGCCGTTTTATTTCTTAATTCACGCTCCGCGCCCACGCGGGGCGAAGTTTTATTTGTTAAACTTCGCCGCGGGCCCCCGCTAATAAGCGTGTTTTCGCTCCTCGACCCCGCCATTTTAACTTGTTAATTCTCGACTTTTCGCTTGGCGGGGTCGCGGGACGAAAACACGAATGGCACAAATCAGCCACCATAGATGACAGCTGTAGTCTTTTTAGTATTATATATATATATATAGAATAAACATCTTATGAATACACACAGAGAAGACATGCTGAGTTTAAAACTCTACATACTATAGTAAATCGTCATAATGATTAATTGGTCAATAAATGCAGGTGATACTTTTTAAGAAAATTCCAAAATATTTTCGCTGCGAGCAGGGTTCGAACCTGCGCGGGCAATGCCCATTGGATTTCAAGTCCAACGCCTTAACCACTCGGCCATCACAGCTATACAGATTCAAACATAAATATCACAAGTGATTATCTGGTATACACTGATACAATACAACTATCGTATCTTTATATATATATTTATATGACACACTTTAAAAACTATTTCTTTGATGTAATGAAAATGTAAAATGTATTAATAGAATGACTTGTACTAATAGTACGACCGAATAATGACTCCGAGTTCTTGTGCACATAGTTAACTATTCTTTCGTTTTCTTATAGATCTTAAAACTATTTATTTTCAAACATGTGTTTCAAAGCACCATGTCTTATTATCAATATTATCATTATCATTATTATTATTATTATTAGTATTAGTATTTAACCTGAATATTTTTCTCATTATCATAAACTGTAGTATAAATTCTTGAGTTATTTCATAACACTTAATAATAGCGTGAATGAATGTCATATTATCTTTATTGTAAACATTTAAATCAATTAGGACATGGTAACAGCTGCAATTAAAAAAATACCCTTGTTGAAACATTATCGAACCCTTCTTGGTCATATACACTTTTATCTGATTCTTGAGTGTGTGCCTCCATAGCTCAGTGGTTAGAGCACTGGTCTTGTAAACCAGGGGTCGTGAGTTCGATCCTCACTGGGGGCTTTCAATTTTTCATGAACACTTCACAATAATTTAAGGATCACACACATCACCCAGGGTCTCATGTAAGTATAGTATAGTGACCGAACCCTGCATGCAAACTTTTATTTTAGCCAAACTAGGAGAGCACTGTAGGAGCACATTTGTCTCGGAACACATTTGTCTCACGATGTGTGACCGATGTGCTCGTAAACATTCATATTTGTGACAAATTGGAAATGAGACAGATGTGTTCGACACACAATAGAAAACAATAATGCTATGGAGTCCGAAGTATTGTCTGCTTTTTCTTATATCATACTTACCGCAATCAAGTAGAAACGGAATGGTAAAATTATAACTTGTAAGTCATATTTTTACATAAAATGTTTAGTACTATAAACTGTTGGCAGTGTGATTAATTTGTGTTTTGTAATAAATATTTGTTTGTATCTTTTGATATTTATATTTAACAATAAATATGAACTGTAATGTTTAAGAATTTAGTATCTTAATAATGATTCCATTGACATTTTTTCAATCTCATTTGCTGTTTATATAACTAATTATTTACTGATTATTATATCTCACAATTGACTTAGTGTTTGAAATTATATTTGCCTGCCCAATAGCGGTACAGTATTTCAAATGAATCGTAACGCATTTACTTAAGTGTTAATCGACTTTTTACATTTGAAAAGGGACGTAACTCTATATTTACATACTATTTTACTTTATACATTCACATCCCTTGTTAAGAAAGTTGAGTAAATTTGAATAGGTAAATCTAAATACTTTTCAATTAATCGTGTTACAAAATGATTTTTGAAACATATCATACATATTTATTCTTTTAATCAATGATTATCAAGGGGCGTTTTTATATCTTAACAACATATTCTGTTCTTAGTTAACAAGGTGTTCAAGTTGATTGCACACATTCTTTCATAAGCGCAACCGGAATAAACCCTCGTTTAATTCAAGAATATATACGATTTGTTTGTTTGTCTGTATTTTACCACATGACTGAGAAATAAATGTGATCGATTGAAAGTAATGACAAACAGAATAAACTCGATCATACTCTATAAAAGATAAATACTACATCCGGTCGATTTTTCATAGCAACAGACCGTGTCGTAAAAAGGTCTGTAAAAAGGTTTATAATAAATAACTAAGAAAATGATCTTAATAAAACATTAACAGAATATTGGAAAAATGGATATATATTTCTGCAGAAAAAAGTGATTATACATGAACATTCAAATTAAGGTGTATCCAAAAAAATTTAACGCCGTGATGATTTAAGTTTAACGGTATATTTCTTAATTTCAAATCGATTGAATCCTATTTTATATCATATAGGTACAACTAGAATTATTCATAACAATTCATACAATTGATACATATATCAGTCAATGTTAATAGAACGATCCACGATAAGGGTATATTTGAATAATTTGGTGAAAATTAAATAAATATTTATCTCACGCTTTGCGGCTTTAAATCAACAAAAAAACTTACTATTGATACATTCAACTAACTAAGCCCCTGTAAATAACTAAACGGACAAAGGTATGGTATTTATAAGATATAAACATTAATGATAAATATTAGGTCTGGTTTTTGTTAGGTCAATATCTATACATTCTATAGGCGTGCTGTTTTATTATTGAATTTTTTGTACATTGATATTAAACAATTTATATAAAGTATAATAACAAAATTACATTTGAATGATTGTTGAATTTTATATCATATCTAGATATTTAAGACTTTGTGAAACTCTATATAATGAAATAAAACCAGTCACATTTTATAGCTTTTCTGATGTGATCTGTGTGGGAAATTAGGTTCTTTTTCTCCTTATTTACATTTATAATAATTATATTATTAATTTATTGAAACAGCTGCAAAGAAACCCCGTTTTTGGATATCATTTTCCTGATACAACGCATATTTGATGAAATTTAAAGTTTACCACATATTTCGTTGAAAATGATATAAATATATTTAACTCATGCTTTGCGGCTTTAAATCGACAAAAAATTACTGTTGATATATTCAGCTGTACTAGTACATAAACGGACAAAGATTAAATACAAACATAAATGATAAAAATAAGGTCTGTTGTTTCGTTAGATTAATATCTTTACATTTGATAAACGTGCTATTTCAGTAATCATATAGATTATATAAACAATATATTAACATCGTATTTGAATGATTGTGAAATCCTGTATCAAAATATGTAAGACATAGTGAAATCTTTTTGACATAGATAACGATTTTACCACCTGCTTTTATTTTCTAATTTTGTGGGGGGTTTTTTATTACCATGTGTGTTTATTAACATATTTCATTGTGGCTAGAATAAGAAATGATTTGTCAAACAAGATCAAAAGTAGCCTTCGAAAGTTCATTCTTGCAAAAGATTTTTTTTCATAAACAATGTATCTAATTTTATATAAAAGCTAGGCACATGCTAGGTGGACATTAACGGAGAATTAAAAAAAATATACTTTGTCAGATAAACTCACGCGGGCACGTACCGTTATTTATTATAATTATTATATGCGTTAGTCAGGGACCAATGCAAAAATAGCTGACTGCAATGACAACTTCTAACATTACTTTCTCAAAGATATCTGTCAAATCGCACGCGCACATGACAAGTATACTGGAACCTCTTCCATTATGGATAAAAAAACTAAGACGTATATTTAAATATGAAAATAAAACTCTAATGCATTTTTTTCGTGCAATAAAATCTGCAAATGCCTTATGACTACTCTGTCTTTTTCCTGTTTCTTTATTAATATTTTGTCCAATTCACTTATTAAAACTGGCATTAAAAGATTTGGCATACTTAGAACTGTAAGAAGATAACATTTTATTTAGTGTCTGAAACTCATTTTAGTAATGTAGGTTTTTTTGTTGTTTTCTTTTGTTTAAAAATGTCCAACCGAAAATAATGCTTTCATAGTAAAAGCGCATACATTTCATTTTATTTTTGATACAATATATAGATAGTATAGTTCAAGTGATTATTCAAGATTTTTACCACATATTTTGTAACAGAAGTGACAGAAAATAAGTCCGATAATTTTCAAATTCTGGATATCAGAATATCTTTAAATCCTAAGTTTTCATATAAATTGAATAAAGAATTACGATTATGATCCATTTTCACTACATCTTAACTTAAACCTTGCTCGGGTTAAACTAAATCGTCACTATAATAATTTCAGTTTTAAACAATTCCATCAGAATCTTTTCTCGTCAGTGTTATTGTTTTATTTGATTCATCAGTAATGTCGGTATACATCAAAGGTGAATCTTTGTCATTCGTGTCTGTAAACGAATTCAATTTCATTAATGATTTAGTTGTATCATCGGTCGCCTTTGCGTCTTGATTAGGTTCATTACTATCTCCTTTTATCCTATGTAAACATGCAGCACTTTCCACTTCACGTTTTGCAGCTTGTTCCATGGCTATACGTCCTTCTGGAGAGAGACCATCGGAGAATTTTGCTCCAAATCTTCGTAGAAGAATTCCGCGTATTTCTACAAGATCATCTGCGGGTAAATTATATCCATTTAAATTCTCTTGAATGAATGTTGCTATTCTATCCATGGTGTAATCATGCACGCCTGAAATTGTTATAAAAGATGCGTTGAAAGAAACAATGCTATTGCGGTGGCAGGTTATGGCATTTTTAAAATGCAGAACATACTGTTCTTATTGTGTTTGATTAACATTATTACACTTTATATATCTGTTTAAAAATGCACTGTCTTCTAAACATTTACCCCAGGTCACAGTTTCGCTTACTATAAAATGTTTTAATCTCCAATGTTTCTGTTAATTTTTTATATATTCAATATAACGAAATATCTCACATGAATTATTAAATATAATTCATTATTGTTGCATTGTGTATTTAGTTAAAGTTAAACTGTTCATGCAACCGGTAATTAAAAAAAATGGTGTTTTACTCACATTTTACGACTAGCAAAGAAATATCCAAAGTTAAGACTGATCATTTATTCCATTTTGCGGCGCGTGACAGGTGATTTCCGTCCCGATTATTCGGG